GTAAACCCCAGGGACATGGTGCGTCCGGAAGGATTGTAGTTCATTACATAAATATCTTTTGAACCTATCGATTCTCGTAGGTATATATCATATTTATTTTTATCGCAACTGTTATCATTGGTATATATTGACCGATATCTGCAAGATAATTATAATTCTATAAGATACAATTCTTACAGGAAACTGCCACGTGAAATGTATATATCTTATCCATTTTGTATACAGTGGCCGTCTTGTAGTGCACANTTATTTCATCGTTAACACTTGCTGTAATTTTCTGAAAAGTGATTCTCAAAAGTAATTTATGTTACTTGAACTGGTTTCAGTAGCTAGACACTTAATATCATTATCGATTACGTTATGACTATTTACTTGATAGTGCTGACCACACGAGCAGTTTCCCTTCGTTGTCATGATTGCTAATGTATTACAATTACATCATCATCTCAGGGACAGCAAATATTTTACTTTGTATTCTTTCAAATAATCCCTAAGTAGATAAATCAAGAGCAATGTTTTCTAGGATATGACATCGTGTAGTTTGGTAGAATTCCATTTACTTTCCAGAGAAAATTATTGTCTTCGTTTTAAGAGTAAAATTGTAAACCGAGCAAGCAAAATCTTTGACATTTAAGATGAAGTTTCTACTTTCATCCGAAACATTGTTGAATTTCACCGAGACTACACGGCGTCAAGTCTTATATGGGAGTCAAATAATCTCCCAAATCACCGAAGTGATAAATTCACATCTCACATGTCGGAAAGTGTTTCGAATGAAGGATATGTTTCTTGCATCAGGCCTCAAATTTGCGAACTGAAATGATTCAGTGATTGTAGTGACTGCATAGGGGATGGATGTATGAATTTTTAAGGGGGGGAAGAGCAGAATTTTCCTCACAGTTTCCACATGTGCACTGAAACCCACTCAGTCTCTCCTCCAATGTGTATGGGGTCAAAATTGACCACTAAATTACACCCAGTGTCAATAAGCATTTTAATGCATCATTCCTTAAGCACATGGTCACAATTCTTAAGGTAACATGAGCCGTTTTAAGCGAAATAATGTTAAATCTGTGATTAATGTAGATTAGAGGACTGATCAATCTGGTATAAATACGGACGGGTCCACAGTTATGAAGTAGCCCCACAGAATCATACTGAATAAATTCCCTTTAGACGTATCCGACGGAAGGACTTTACCTAACTTTGATGCGTCCATTTTTGTCGTAAAGTAACATTTGTAAGGGCCGGGATAGCTCATTCAATATAGAGACAATTTAAGGGCTGGAAGACCCGGGGTTAATTCCTCCACATGGTCCAAACCGGTTCTAGGGTTCACACAATCTATTCCCCACAGGGGTAAAGCAGGAGAAGCACTAAGCTGATCACTTACTTACTTATTGAGTTGAACCCTTGTTGAGGAGCCGCCAATTCTGCAGCGACTCAAGAATTTCCCAGAACTTTATGGAAACCGAAGGTTCATTACCGTGTTCACAAGAGTCCTCCATTGGTCCATATTTTGAGCCAGATCAGTCCAATCCATATCACATCCTATTTCTCTAAGATCCATTTTAATATTGTCCACCCACTTACGCCTCGGTCTTCCCAGTGGTCTCTTTCCTTCTGGCTTTCTCACCAATATCCTATATGCATTCCGCGTCTTCGCCATTCGTGCTACATGCCCTGCCTATCTCATCTTCCTTGACTTGATCATTCTAATTATACCTGGAGAAAAGTACAAGTCATGAAGCTCCTCATTATGCAGTTTTCTCCAACCTCCTGTCACTTCATCTCTCTTGGGTCCAAATATTCTCAACACCCTGTTCTCAAACACTCTCAGTCTGTGTTCCTCCCTTAATGTCAGAGTCCAAGTTTCTCATCCATATAGAACCACGGCAAAATTATAGTTTTTTGTATTCTAATTTTTATGTTTTTTGGACAGCAGACGAGAAGACAAAAGGTTCTGGACTGAATGGTAGCAAGCATTACCCGAGTTCAATCGCCTCTTAATTTCCTCCTGAATCAGGTTTTAATTTGTTATCGTCGTTCACAAATATCTGAACTGTGCTACATTTTCTAAGCTGATCACTTACCTCCATTTAATACTGAGGTGAAGAACAGTGGAGCTATACCATCACTTCCCTATACGTTTTCATGGCCTAATATTTAATTACAAGAACAGCTTTACTTTTTATAATATGATAAGTATGTTTCGATCTGGGCGTTAGTGTTTAACTGTGACATTTTCTGGACAGAGAGGAGTGGACTTACATGTCACCGAGTTGTCCAAAGACGAGTGTGCCCACAACCTCTCCAACCCTCGAGACAAGAAGGGTGTTCGGCACGTAAACCTCCTTCTCACAGACCCAGCCCTCTTGTGTTGGAGCCGTCACTGAGTACCACTTCGTATCGTACTCCCATCCATGCTGGCACCCAACTGTAAGCACGTGAGTTCGTTTCTTATGTTAGACTCATAACTTGTTGAAGTGTCGAATGTTGTTTAGCTGGTTAACATATTTTTTGTTTCTGTGGGAATCCGGAAGTTTATTACCGTGTCCACAGAAACTCGGCATCGAACGACATCCTGAGCCAGCTGAATCCAGGACTATCAGTCCAATTTTGTTAAGAAATAAAATAAATCAACTTACAGTCTGTATGTCTGTCTCTCTGTGTGACTCACAATTTTTTTAGGCTTATGAGGTAACCTTCCTGTCTATCTATTTATCCCTCTGTTTTTTTTCCATTTTCTATCCAGTCTGTATCGTATTAAAGGAAATTAATCAACTACTTCTTCCCAGAACTTTTTTATTTTATTATTATTTTAGCCTTGACCGCCTCTGTGGTCTAGTAGTTAGAGTTCCTGGCTACAGATCTAGAGGTCCCGGGTTCGATTCTCGGCGCTACTAGATTTTCTGAGAAATAGTGGGTCTGGAACGGCGTCCAATCAGCCTCGTGAGGAAAACTGACGAGCTATTTCAAGGAAATACGTTGCCTAGATAGGGACGATGCTGTTAGACATAAGAGAACATAAGGTGAGACAGTCTGCCCATAACGCTCGCTACGTCATTATATTGTTAGCATAATACTAAAATGAAGTTATGATTACCTGTTTATCTGTAGGCCACGTGTAGTAAACAAGAATGTGAAAGCACAATAAGAATATGAAAATAAATTTCTGGAAAATTAAGAAATAAATGATTATATGTAGCATTGTAAATAAAATAGGAATGGAGGAAGATAAGGTTTTTATATTAAGCCTGTTGAACCTTTGGATAATACGATATTTAGTGTTGATTGTTCTCTTTTAATTGTGTTAAATTAAAACTAAATAGGTATCAATTCCATAAGCTTTAAACTTGTCATTTTTATTAGGAAATTTCAGATTACCATAGGAAAAAACTGTCGATTGTCGCGTGCTAGAAAGTTGAAACAACATAAATTTCATAGTAGACCACAATCAAACGAGACACTCTTCTATCAGTGTATCTTGTTTATTATGAGTATTCATACTACTGTGATAATACTTTTCGGTATAATGCTAAATAATTACGTGAAGAAGGGAGTGGATATAACTTCCGAAACGTTGTGTATATTAAAATTTCGCGCACATTGGACATGTTCAATATAAATGTAAATTAGCAAATAAGCCGTTTGGTTAATGAAGGCTTACCCGTCTCGTATGTCGTCTTGTTGAGCCCCTGAAGTGTCTGTGCGCCCATTGGTAGGCTCAAGTTGTACATCCTGCATTTGCTGAATGAATCTTCCTCGTTACCATCTCTGAAATTGAGAAATGTTTTGCCTTTCTTTTTTCACGTTTAAGTCTTCTATTACAGAAATATCTGTGAACTAATTAATTTCACTTCAAAATTTCACAAAATAATATCCGAAAATGGGCTCAAATCTTCGCTTTTTTGTCTGTACCTGAGATGATGCTTCCAAAATTACATAAATTACTCTCATAAATTAAATTTTACTCATAAAATTTTGTGGGAAAAATTATAGACATGTAACGATCTTCACCAGCTTAACGATACAAATATAGAAATGCTGATAATATCTTAACATTTATATGAATATACTGAGGAAAGCCACGATAATCACTGCCTCCAAACTGAGATTTTATCACTTGAATTTAAAGCAGGAATTCAACTATAAATGTAATATTTATTTAATTTTTCCTAACCCATCAACACAACATTTTGTGGTGCAGAATATTTTATTAAAATCTAGCCCATGTTTCGACCTACACTCTCCGTCGTCAGGTGGTACAATATCGGAAGCCTTTGCTATTGAATATTGCTCTTTTTCTCTCTTATGGAAAAAAAGATCTAGTTTCCTATAAATTTATTAGATCAATGTTTTCAGCAAGACAGTAAAACAATAACAATCCATATTAAAAAAACTCCAAAATCATTCCAACTGAATACAGAGGATTTCAATAAGAATTAGATGCCAGAGAGAGCTGTGTTCATGGTACATGGAGGTAGAATAATCCCGTTGCATTTCCGTAACACTGTAATTGTATCTTTCAACTGACCTAATCTTTCTAGCCGAATTATGGTCCTGGGTTCGACTTACCCTCTAACAGAAATGAGTACCATGAATCTTCCTGGGTATAAAGGACTGCCGGCGCTTAAGGCTGACAGCCTCACCGCCATCTGTGAGCGGATTGTCTAGATAATGTGGGAGCCTCGTAGTCTTGCAACATTATGGGACTCCACGGCTTGTTATAGGGACAGCTTAAATATAATCTTCAATACAGCTTCACACTTTATTGGTTAATTTACCATTTAGCCTATGATTTCATATAAATTCAACATGTTTCGACCACACAGGGCCATCATCATGTACATATGATGATTTTAGTAAATTGTTATAGGGTAATATATTATTACATAAATTAAAACCAGAAAAATATCAATGAAGTACAAATTTGCTGGTGGTTTAACGTAAAACATAAGAAATTACAGGAACTGAAGATGACCCATGAATACTAACCAATCAACAGCAATGTTCTATGCAACTGAATATCCCATTGGATGATGAATACGCAATGTAAGATTTGAGGTTTTCACGGCGGTGACTATGAATACAGTCTTCCGGGATGTGACGCCGTGTAGCTATTGTATAAACCGACGTTTCAGAGGAACATACTGCCTCCATCTTCAGGGTAGAATATAGGAGAAAATAGGAACCAGCGTGAACAGGTAGCTGCAGACTAAATGACCAGTAGAAATCTCCCAGCTATCTATACCTTGAAGATGGAGGGGATACGTTCCTCCGAAACGCCGGTTTGTACAATATCTACACGGTGCCATATTCAAGAAGACGGCATTCATCATGAATGCACAAATTGAAAATATACTTGGTCAGTTTCTGAAATTGCATAAAGATTTGTATCGTTAATATTTCATTTATTAATATTATTTACTCCTTGTGTACTTAATGATGACTTAACTTACTCATTTTCGGTAAATGATAGAATTAACGAACAATGAATTGAGAACTATGAGTAAAGGAAGCCATAAATACCTGATCTCATGGATTATTAAGGTAATTTTGCCTGTAATGAGAGAATAACTACTCAAAACGTCAGGGCATCCGATTTTCTGGCAGATATTTGAACCCTGTACCTTCCTAGTACGAAGCAGGAATGTTTCCCATTTGACCTTCAAACTCGATTGTGATAACACTCGATCAAGGAAGACTTACTTTGGAAGTGTCAGATTCTTCCACTCTGCTATGGTGTAGTTAGTTTCATTTCTGCCCGGTACGTGGCACCAGTGGTTTGGTAGGGTAACCGCTAAGATGAGGTTGAACGAAGGCATTGCAACTGTAAGGATGAAACCCATGTTGAAGATCAAGTTGAACCAGGACTGAAACTTTCCATCCATCCCGATGTGTTCCATCAGTTCTTCGAATGTGTCCTCTTCCTTCTTCTCCTTCAGTCCTATTTGTTCCATCGTTGCAGATTAGGGCCTTGTTCCAAGTTCCTTCTGCAAAATAACAAGAGGAGGTCAAATTAAATTGTTCTTGAAGGACTGTATTTGAACTGATATCCATATTGATATGAACAGCATGTGGGCTATTAAGTTCATTAGGTAATGTAATTGGTGTAGCCACTATTCTACAAGCCGGAAGGTCGCGGGTTCGATTTCCGATGAGATCATTAGATTTTTTCAATTTACCTAATCCTTCCAGCCACACTATGGCCCCGGGGTCGACTCCGACTTTAACAGAAATTAGTACCAGGAATCTTACTGGGAGTCATGGGCGACTGGTTCATAAGGCTGACGACCTCACCGCCATCTGTGAGTCGATTGCCTAGAACATGTAGGAGCCTCGACGTCTCAAATCCCTATGGGTCTTAGTGACGTGTTACAGGGATAACTTCATACTTACGATTACATAGAATAGGATAGTAACCTACACTTACATATTTCTTGTTGTTAATCATAAGGAATTTACAGAAACAATGGCAGATATGGGTATCCCTCCTTTAATATTATCACATATTTGGGATGTGACTAAAGACGGGGTATGAATTGCGTAATTGGGTTTGTTGACACAACTCGAAACTACACACAATTATAGCCCTATCGTTAATCTTCACACTTTACATATCACCACAGCAACAAGTTGAGCTTTTTCCAGCCTGCTATGTCTTAACCAGCCGTTCCCTAGTAAAGGCGTCTAACAGTGTAGATCATTCAACTTCTCGCGCTCAGGTCCTCTCGTAACAGCAGTCCTTGCGGTCCTTGCACTGTTCTTGGCAACAGCTAACTCTACTTAGCATCCCTTGCCGAACTCAACTCTTGCCTGTCAATCCTCAAATCTCTCCCAATCAACAACTCAACTATAGCGCCATCTCTTTTTAACTATCCTCAGTCAAAAGTCAAAGTTAGAGTTTCTGACAGGGCCTGTGTCAGTCCAGGCTCAGTACATCAGATTATGCCCCAATTTCTAGTAGCTTCCGTTACAACGGCAGTCTAGTAACTCGAACGGTCGTATGCTTGACTGCCGCCAAGTTTAAGCCTCTTGGCTTTTGGGTCCGCGTTATATAGCCTCGGGACGGACTCACGAGAGAACACTGCTTTCAACTGTTCCTCTGTCGTTGTAGGCGTGTTTACCGATCCGTTGCCTATAAACGGCCGTCTTCTTAATAGCCTATTGTATAGCAACGGCTGTGCTCGTTGTTTTTTTTTCAATGTCTTTGCCTAGCAATGGTTCTGTACTCTACAAAATAATTACGCTTGAGATAGTGTAGTGTCAACTTCCCTCAATTGCCTCCTATTTGGGGTGGGGGGTAGGTTTCCTTCGTGGATTAAAATCATTTAACAGGCAATGTGACTACATATATCTATGCAGAGCTCAAATTAAGTTAATGGTAGTACTTTACTTCAACTCCAAGCATACATCCTAATAGTAGAATGAGTAGATTGATGGATGGCAGGAGTTTGAACAGCATCTCATATTTCTCAATCGAAAAAATAAAACCGTATTTCATCGGTTAATTTCTTTCAGATTATAATAAATCTACTTACTGTGTTCAAGTCGAATATGTTCCCAAATCTCCCTATCTTCAGATAATATTACACTAAAGAAACCGACCGTCTTACTTGTCTCGAAGTAAGATTCGTCACTATGGAATAAAAACTGTGTCATTCGCTTGTGTTTTTCCTTCACCAAGAACGCCGATATATTTGCAACTGAATCTCAGCTTCTTCGAACACATGAGCATAGTTCTCCACATTAATTTGTTATGATAGCCATAATTGTTCAAGATATGTTATCACTTAATATTTAGATATAACAAACAGATGTGTCAAAGGATGTAAACAAAATGTACTTACTTAATTCTTTTGTGTTCTACAAGTTCTTTTCTCCTATGACTCTGCTAATTTTGTTGTTTGTTTTAGTTAACATCTAGTACCAAATGATTCTCACGTGAAGAGAGCTGACAACATTGCCTATAGCATTAAGAGGCTTTAAGTTTACAGCACTTTCTGTTCCCAGTCTGGCTGACTGCACTATATTAAACACGAAGAGCCAATGAACAGCACTGCAGAGCCTCTCTCATAATTCTGGTACTGGGACACTGAGGTCACAGGATTTTTCTATTGACCTAATCCTTCCAGCCGCACTGTGACCCTGGAGTCGACTCAGCCTCTCTCAGAAATGGGTACCAGAAATCTCCCTGGGTGTGAAGAGTTGTCGGCGCGTAATGCTGACATCACCGCCATCTGTGAGCCGATTGTCTGGAAGAAAATGTGGGGGCCTCGACGTCTCACAATCCTATCAGCCTCCACGGCCTGTTACAGGGATAACTTTACCTTTTACTGCAACACTAAGGGGAAAACATTTTGTTGGGAAATAATTATAATAAAATATAAGATAATATAATAATTTTTAACAGTAGTTTTAATTCTATTCAGTTTTTTTATTGCTGAGTAAGGCATAGGGACGGGCTACCGGCTGGACGACCGGGGTTCGACTCTTCTCTTCTCCACAGCTTCCAGACCGGTTCTGGCGCCAATCAATAAGTGACCGAGAACTTCCTCCGAGGGAATAAAGAGGCAGGAACGTGAAGCTGACCACTCATCTCAATCTAGTGCCGAGGTAAAGAATGGTGGAAATATAACTCCACTTCTCCATACGCCTTCATGGCGTGTTGCTTAATTAATTAAGCACAGGGACAAATTTACCTTTATTTTACTGTATTATCTTTTGCTAGTATTAAGGTCGGAATATGAAGAGTGTCAGAAAAACAGAGAGAAATATAACGATGATTATTATAATGATAATTATCATTATTAACCCAACGATCTACTCAGCCTTAATTAATATCTCATTTTCTCTTCAAATATATTTTCTGTAGCGATCCTAAATCAGCCTTATGATTTCTGGTCCCGTGGAGGGACGCCAGATTGACGTCCTCGCGTCGGTGACTGTGCCACAACGCTTCTGGTTCGGAGAGAGACCGACCTTTCGGAGAAACATTTCGTCTCCATCTTCAGAGTCGAGGGTAAGTCGAGCAAGAACCTACAGGAGCACGAGGTAGATTACTAACTTCATTGAGCTGAGCTCTTCTTGAGAATCCTCCAGCCGCTCAGCTACTCAAGAATTTCCCATCATTTTATGGAACCCCAAAGTTCATTACCGTGCTCACAAGAGCCCTCCACTGGTCCCTATCCTGAGCTAATCCATACAGTCCGTACTATCCAACCCTATATATCTGAGATCCATTTTAATATTATCCACCCGTCTTCATCTACCTAGTGAACACTTCTTTCTGCCTTTACCACTAATATCTTGCGTATATTCCTCTTCTCCCAATTAGTGCTACGTGCCCTGCCCATATCACATTCCTCGATTTGATCATTCTAATTATGTTTGGCGAGGACTATAAATTATGAAGCTCCTCATTATGCGGTTTTCTCCGATATCCTGTCACTTCATCTCTTTTCGGTCCAGATATTCTCCTCAGAATCCTGTTATAAAATAGATTTCTGTTTCTCTAGTTTTCGGCCCTGAAGATGGAGGTGATATGTTCTCAGAAACATCTCGTTCTGTCCGAATGTTGTGAGTTATAACTCAGAAATTTGTACTGGACGTTTAAACACACTGACATAGCTTGAAGTTAACCAGAATGAAAAAGGATTTGAAGTCCTCTTGAAACGACGACTTGTTGAAGTGAAGTGTGGTTCAGTTGTTTCAGGACACATTGTAGGACATCATTTGGCCTTTAACAATATCAGTGACGCAGGAGTCCTAATGGAATAATCGCCGTCAATGAGGACAGAGACGGAATGCGTGGATGGCTCATGGTCAAGATAATAGTCTTTGATGTTATGTGGGTAACTAACTTATCTATAGTCCCGTTCACGGCGCACAAATCCTTAGAGACAGTTGCTAGGGCGCCTACACTGTTGCGTCTATCCGGCAATATTTAAATTGTTTCAATGTAGGATTTAAAATTCTCACAACTGTAGTTTTGAACAGTTCTATCTTCTGGGATATAACGACTTGTGGTTCTCTGAAAATAAACCGACGTTTTAGAGGAACATATCGACTCGCCTTTCCAATTGCTTTTAAGCTTGTATCTTCCTTGCATCTTGTTTATTCGACCCTGAAGTTGGAGACGATATATTCCTCCGAAAGGTCAGTTGACTTTTCTAAAGAAAGCACGGGTTTATATCTCAGAAGATAGTAGTCAACATGTTTTTAATAGTCTGCAGACTATGCTAAATTCTTTTCGGGCTATCAGCCATGTTAATACCGAGTTAAAAACCGACATTTCAGAGATCTCTTCCCTCTATTTGAGAATATTGTATTGTCACGTGATAGAGTGACTATAGTATTTTTGGATTTTTGGCTGACAATTGGCTTTAATGGACATTTTAACACACAGCTAGTAACTCGCTCACTCATGGAGCTGAGTCTTTCTTGAGAACCTGCCAGTTGTGCAGCCACTCAAGAATTTCCCAACATTCTATGGAACACGAAGATTCATTATCGTGTTCACAAGAGCCTTCTACTGGTCCGTATCCTGATCCAGATTAATCCAATCCATCCCATCCCATCTTATCTCTCTAAGATCCATTTTAATATTTTTTTCCCCGCCTATATATTTTTCCTTCTGGTTTTCCTACAAGTACCATATATGCATTCATCTTCTCCCCCATTCATCTACATGCACTTCCCACCTTGTGACTACACTTTATAGATCACTACCACACAAAAATTAATGTTCTCAGTAACAGTCTTCATTGCTTTGCTTGGTAACGTATTCCAACAGCGGACGTTCCTCTGCCCCCGGGATCACGACCATCTCACACCAACCTCCCACTTATCTGCCGTCTAAAGACTGTCTCGTAATGGCAGCTGGTCCTCGTTATATAATCTCGGCACGGACCACACAGAAAACATCGCTTCTAGCAGCTCTTTTATTGTTGCATATACGTCTGTTACGGTTATCATATTAAGGATACTTAGTCATTGCCTAACAACGGTTGCGTTTCCAGAGCCGTTCCCTACTAACAGTTCTCTCTGTTGGCTTCACAATTCTGACTTTCAGCAGACATTCCGCAGTATTCTGTGGGTTATTTAAAAGCCCTTTGAGTCTCAGAACTACAGATAAGATGACAGGATGACTGGCAAATAGACAGAAGCCTGACCGAAGCGAATTACTCTCTGGTCATTTTCCCGGAGGGACTGAGGTAAAGCTAAATAAATATTGTTCACAGGAAAATCACACGGTGATACGATTCGTGTGGCCGCTATTTTGTTTATCCAACATTAACATGCATAATTTTCATTTCATGCATCCTGTTTTGTTACAATATACAGCCTCTTTATTACAACCGTCATATATTTAAAATACAACATTTTGTTTTTGTTTTCATTATCGAAATAGCCAGCAAATGCCCCATAAGCTTTATGGTGCTGACTTCTCTTCGTTATGTTTATGCATAACTATGTTGAACCGAAACTAACTGCAATCATATGGGCCCCTGGCTTCCCACCGCGGCGGTCCGGGTTCGATCCTAGGTCTGGTCAAGTGGGATTTGTGATGGAAAAAGTGGCGCTGGGGCGGGTTTTCGCCGAGTACTTCGGTTTCCCCTGCCAATGTACATTCCACCAATTGTTCCACAATCACTCTCACCTACCATCTGGGGCTGGTACAATATGCCAGAAGTGGCCGCAGTACAAGGGACTTAGCCCTACCCCACTAGCAATAGTAATAACTGCAATCATCAGTGTATATTTATTTGCTGCATATGTCAAATGCATGTTTGCAGTTAACACTTCTGAACAGTTAACTAAATCCTTTGGTGCATTTCGAATTTCTCACCGTTCTTAATAATTATTTACTCTAAACTGCAAAGTTATCCGCGTGTTTGCTTAATGAAGCACTACGGGGTCGCCACTCACTGTAGCTGTAGACTATCTTGTGATATTTGCAGCTTCGGTATGATATCGGCAACTCCAAGCACAGAGTGCGAAAGTTTTGATAGTGAAATTATCTGGAAGGTCAGTGAACGAACGTGTAAACATCTCTCAAACATTTTCGTTTTTCTTTTCCTCGCATCTTCTATGATGAAATGGAGCACAGATTTTTAGGCATTCTGTGTATTTTGTATTTGTCTGTGTATTCGAAAATTCCGAATATACAAAATTATAATTTTGCCTGTGGTTCTGTATGGGTGTGAAACTTTGTCTCTGACATTAAGGGAGGAACAGAGACTGAGTGTGTTTGAGAAGAGGGTGTTGAGGAAAATATTTGGACCGAAGAGAGATGAAGTGACAGGAGGTTGGAGAAAACTGCAGTAATGAGGAGCTTCATAACTTGTACTCTTCTCCAAGTATAATTAGAATTATGAAGTCGAGGAGCATGAGGCGGGCAGGGCATGTAGCACGAAGGAAAGCCAGAAGGAAAGAGGCCACTGGGAAGACAAAGGCGTAAGCGGGTGGAGAATATTAAAATGGATCTTAGAGAGATAGGATGGGATGGTATGGATTGGATTGATGTGGCTTAGGATATGGACTAGTGGATGGCTCTTGTGAACACGGCAATGAACCTTCGGATTCCATAAAATGCTGGGAAATTCTTGAGTAGCTGCAGAATTGGCGGCTCCTCCAGAAGGGCTCGGCCCCATAAGTAAGCAAGGAAGTAAGTAATTCGAAAGTTCAGACCGTAAAAGGACGTCCTTTACACTATTGAACTTGTCTCTGAGGAACGTAATTGTGTGTACGTGAGCTGATAACAAGATTTTAGTGTGTTCATGATGTGAAATTATAATTTGGGGGGGGGGGGAAATCTGAAAATCTGAAATTTAGTATGTGATTTCAAACACTAGGCAAATAACAAATTTATAAATTCTATTCTTCAGCTGTGGTAATACAGTGTGATTCTAAATTATTGTAGAAATTTCCGTGGTATATAAATTTAAAACTGAAAATAATTCAATAAAGCTTTTTAAGAAATAAATTATTGTTACTCAAAAAGTTTTATATTCCATTCTACGCAACTAATTTTATGTAAAATAGAATTTTTGAGGTACACGTTTTTATTCCGTTAGCAGTTTTATATTATTTCAAACGGTTTGAAAATCATAAGCAATTCAAACTCAGACAATAATTTAGAATTACACTTTATTATTTTCTAAAGCACTAAAATTCGGCTATAGTAACGTGTATGTAGCAGTTTACATAATAAAAACAAGCGTGAATTATATTTAATGTAATGTCTGTGCCAATTTAAACCTCACATATAGATTTACTGAAAATCTTCATGCTTATATTCTTTGGCCACCTCAAGGGAGAAATATTATTTTAGGCGAAGACAGCATCCTTCCAAATCCTTACCTACTAATTCAGAATCATCTTAATATCTAACCTAAATAATTTTGTCACACGATGCACCGTCAAGATGGCTCTTAGAGACATATTATGGGGTGGTATGGACTGTATTGATCTGGCTGAGGATAGGGACCAGTGGAGGTATCTTGTGAACACGGTAATGAACTTTCATGTTCCATAAAATATGGGGAAATTCTTGAGCAGCTGCGCAACTGGAAGTTTCTCAAGAAGGGCTCAGCTCCATACAGTTAGTGAATGCAATGTAATTAATAAATTAATTATACATTTCTTTTCAATTTTGTTTCTTACGCAGTGCTCGACGCCTGGAACTGAGGATAAGTTTTTCATTTTCACGGTAGGTTCTTATTTACATAGGCAAAGACCACAGGTCATATGACATAATGACGTATATTAAAAGTAAAACTAAAAGGTAAAGGTGTCCCTGTAACAAACCGTGGAGGCCCATAGAGTTGTGACACGTTGAGGGTCCCACATTATCTAGACAATCGGTTCACAGATGGCGGTAAGGTTGTCAGCCTTAGGCGCCAACTACCATTTGCCCCCAAGAATATTCCTGGTACTCATTTCTATTAGAGTCTGCGTCGACCCCAGGGCCATAGTGAGCCTAGAAGGATTAGGTAAATTGAAAAAAAAAAAAAAGAACCACCTCATCGGGATTCGATTCCCCTACCTTCCGTCTTGTAGCATAGTGTCTCAACTAACTACGCTACCGCGTGCCCCAGTGGCGTGTATTATCTAATTCAAATAATACATCATTATTTCATATCAACTTATGTGTCGCTTTCTGTTATCTGAGTACACTGCTTGCACGCGATCCATTGGTTGAGACAGTAAGAGTAAACTTGGCCTGTCACGTTGCCTCTACTGCGATGTTTCGAAATAGCTTACTACTGTCTGAAATATTGTTATCTGCTTAGTATCTGTTAATCATGGCACTTCTTAAGATAGCAATGGATAAAAACACTTCATATCGATAACTCGTTACGTAAATTAAATGCAGTTGTGGTACTGAGTGAAGTTTTTCTTCGGGCATAGTGCGAAGTACATCAACGTAAGTACATAGTGAGGTTGTATATGAAGGTCTGTGTCATTCAGGATTGTGCCACTAGTGACAGTTATTTCAGTGCTCTCTAATGCATTGTCTAGTAATAGTTTGCATGCGCTCCAAGAGCATGGTTATTCGCGCCTGCGCGGTGTCTGAATGATCAAAGGTATTAGTTACATGTTTCTGTTATATTAAGTGTTTCTCCACGAAATGTTATTTTAGAACGATCAATCAAGGACAATTAGCAGGGCATGTAGCATGTACGGAAGAGGAATATATAAAAAGTTACGACGGGAAAACTTAAAAGAGAGAGACCGATAGGAAATCATAAACGTAGGCTGGAAAATAACATTAAAATGAATATTATAGAAAAAGCATAGAAGGATGTGGTCTGGAAAAGCGTAGTAGTGGGCTTTTGGGTGAACGGTAATGAACGTTCTGGTTCCATATTTTGCTTAGAATTATATTGCAGCGTGTGCAGTTTGTTTTCCTAAGTATTACTTAGTTCCATAGATATAAATAGTTAGCAAATTAGTCATTACACGTGTAGTTGTTGGATTCAAGCTCCCTTGTTATATTGTTAAGGCAGATCTATGTTAGATTAAACAGTTTTATAATAGTACTGCATGCAGAAAACAAACTCCTTGGTCTATAGTCCGCAAGCGAAATATATCGACCGAGCTACCGCCGTTTGTCGGCGAAGTTAGTGCCAACTTTTGCGGATAGAGAGTGTCGCTTTGCATACAGTTACAAAAATTGCTAATGAGCTCGCTATACCTCGACATTAAATTTAGTGTTCACCGGGATAGCTCATCAGGTATAGCGACGGGCTACGGGTTGTGTTGTCGGTGTTCGATACCAAAAAATATTGAAATTTTCCACAGCCTTCAGGCCACCTCATTGAACCACTTAGTCTTTTATTCAATAGGTACTGGGGCTCTTTCCCCGGGAGTGTAAAGAGACAGGAGCGTGAAGCAGACTACTCACTTCCATCTAATGCTGAGATCAAGAATGGTGGAGCTATACCCCCATTTCCATACTGCTTAATTAATTAAACCTAGGTACAAGTTCACGTTTATATTATAGAAAAAAGTATGTGTGTAAGAGAGTTATGTCCCTTGGGAAAAATGTCGGACATCAGTTTTCGACATAAAATGGAGTCAAGTCATCACAAAGAGTTTGTAGAAATCATCATTTACTGTTCCCATAACGGGAGTGTTTTATGGGCTTGTAATTATGGAGCGCCATCATAAAACTCGAAATACAAATATAGTTCTCTGCTCGTTTGGATGATTGTTGCGGATTTTAATGTTGCTGGCCAAATGCTATTGTTTAATTTAGTCGAATCGTGAAAAAGAAACCTTCTGTGTGTTTCTCACAGATAACCAAGAAGGAACAACCTATCGTCATTCAGCAATGGAACCAATGAAGATGAAACACGGTACATCTGATGAGGACTTATTTAACGATCTGATGGAACACGTTGGGATGGAAGGAAAATTTCAATCCAGATTCAATTATTTATATAACTTGGCGCTTATGGTACTGGTCGCCATGCCAGCTTTAAATATCATCATGGCGCTTACGTCACCTGACCACTGGTGCCACGTACCGGGAAGAAACGAAACTAATTTTACATTATCAGAATGGAAGCAACTTACAGTCCCAAGGTAAAGGCTTGCTGAAATAGAGCGTAAATGGGACTATTTTCTTGCAGGGGTGCATAATACACTAATGCTGATGCATAATTTTAGGATATTTCGATAATGTTTCAGTGGTAAACAGATGCAATGATTGGTTCATAGGTCTGTTCAAACGTTAATGTCTCTTAAAATTGGTCTTACATTTTTAAGAGAAATCCTTACGTATCCATTACCACATAAATATTAAATGACATTGTAAAAGGTAAAGGCAAATCTATCCCTGTAACAGGCCCTGAAGTCCTATAGGATTGTGAGGCGTCAAGGCTCCCACATTTTCTCTAGGCAATCGGCTCACAAAAGGCGGTGAGGTTGTCAGCCTTACGAGCCTGTCGCCTTCTACCCCCAGGAAGATTCATGGTGCTAAATTCTGTTAGGGGCTGAGTCGATTGAAATTAAAAAATCCATCTCATCTGGGCTCGAAACCGTAACCTTCCGGCTTGTAGCATAGTGCCTTAACCAACTACCCCAATTACATTGTAAATTTACAAAATATAAATTTGTACACCACTCAAGACATGGGTGTCCTTATGTGCGTTTAGTCTGTGTTTGTGTTGTCCTGTGTTTAGGTAGAGGTCTTGTGATTGGCTGATCTCCCGCCCAAGGAGCCATACCATCTGTTTAAAAATGATTACGAAATTGACGGAGGAGCCAGGACCCAACAAAGAGCTGTAGAGTCATTGATGAATAGAATGAATGAATTGAATGAATGAATGAATAAACTTGTAGATGACTTGTATATTACAGGACAGACGCCACTGGAAATGTGGACACGTTCAGTAAGTGCAGTGCCTACAATTTGACGTTTCCGCTGGATGCAAATACAAGTAGGCCTACATTATTGGAGAGGACGCCTTCTGACTACAGGGACACAGGTATTCTAACTTTAGTACACACAATCAAGATAATGCAAAGAATCCTATACTCTGGGATACAACGTGGCTCAGTCCGTTTAAATTGAAGCAACGTTTCGGAGTAACATGTCACCTCCCCATTCAGGGTAAGCAGAGGAAGTAAGTCGGTGGAAGACAGTGTTCTGCTTGCTACCTGCTTTATGCTGGTTCCTTCATTCGCTTATTCTTGACAGCGGCAAGAATATCCCTTTTCTCTTGATATATTCTCAGATCCATGCTCTCACTAACCAAATATGTACCTGGGGAACTGTTTCCGGGATAAATCAGCCTGGCGTAAAGTAAAGTAACGAGGTTAAGAATGCGTGGAGCTATACTTCCACTCCCCTATACTTCTTTATGTTACGCTGCTTAATTGATATTAACGATAACTTTATTTTCCGGTCTATAAAACCGAAATTAACTGCCATGAGAATCCGTTGCGCTGCCCACCCTCTATCCGCTAAAATTTGGCACTAAATTCGCCGACAAGTGGCGGCCGCTCGGTCGGTATAGTTCGTTTGCGGAATAAAGCCACGGAGTTTGTTGATAACTTAATTGGTTTCGTAATCATATTTAAAATTGGGACATTTATTTCGGTAACAGGTTTCAAAGAAGAAACTGGTATTTGTTGTATAAGTGTTTTCATAGACGCACATGCATTGCGCTTTTCAAGCAGTCAGCTGCCAGGACGGCTGGGAGTACGACCAGACATGGTTTGCTTCAACAGTGACGTCACAGGAAGACTGGGTCTGCGAGAAGGAGCTTCACATCCCAAACACTTTGCTCTTCTGCAAAGTGGGAGAAGTTCTGGGTGAAGTATTCATCGGTCAGCTAGGGGACACGTGAGTAGTGTTGCTTTCTTTTCAAAGTTCGTTGGGGTGGGGAAAACTGCACAATGAGGAGCTTCATAACACGTACTCTTCTCCAAGTACATAATTAGAATGATCAAGTCAAGGAGAACGAGGTGGGCAGGTCATGTAGCACTAATGGGAGAGAAGAGGATGCATATAGGATATTGGTTGGAAAGCCAGAAGTAAAGAGACCACTGGAAAGACCAAGGCGTAGGTGGGTGGACAATATTAAAATGGACCTTAGAGAGATAGAATGCAATGGTATGGATTGGATTCATCTGGCTCAGGATATGGACCAGTGGAGGGCGCTATATTTGTTTCTGCTTCTTATAGGTTACTTTGCCTGGATACAGTAAGTTCATCCGAAACATCGGTGAACTTTTTCATTACACCCCAAAAGACGATAGTCTAATCACCTATTGTTATCGACTGTGGTTTGGTTGTTTTGCTTACTCTTTGGTTCTGAAGACTGAGTAACACATTTTCCCAAAACGTCGGTAAAATTCTGCCTTACTAAACAGCACCAGAACCCAGAATACAATACCCTAAACGTCACTTGATTTTGTCTCTGGTTTTGTTGATTGTCTCGTTATTTTTTTCTGAAGATAAAGGCAGTACTCTTTCGAAACGTCTGTAAGTTTCTATCTTACTACGCAAGATCACATCCCAGAATAAATGCCCTAAAAGTCACTTAATTTTGTTTCTGGTTTTCATGATTGTCTCATTCTTTTGTTCTGAAGATAAAGGCAGTACTCTTTAGAAACGTCGGTAAGTTTGTATCTTACTACGCAAGGTCACATCCCAGAGGACAATACCCTAAACGTCACTTGTTGTGGGCTATTATCCATCAATTAGATATTTCAAAACAATCTTAATCTGTCTGAATCCCAACAGAAATTTTTCTTGCGCTGTAAATTTTAGGATGTTGGAAATATGATAGAGTTGCCAAAGACTTGATGCTATTTGGTGGAAACGCAAGTACTGTGCCTTCATCTAGTCGTCGTGGGGGCGGGGCTATTTAACGGAGTTTTCTTTATTCCAGGATCGGACGGCGCCCTGTGCTCTTCCTGGGCGTCGCCCTGTTGGTGCTGGGACGGTGTGTTCTTGTGTTCTCAGCAGGCATCTACACAATATTCCTTGCGGCAGTCGTCGTCACGAGCTTACCAACTGGTGTCATCTTCCAGTCACCTCTCATTATAGGTACTGTACAACCCAGCACAACTCTGCTTCAAAACTCATGCACTAACATGAGAGTATGAACTGAAAATTTTGACTGTCAAAGCGCCACTACACGCTAGAAACCCAAGAGCCGCATGCAGATAAATATTGTGACGTGTTGCGCTATGGATGACGCCCCTCCCTCCTCGCCAGCAGTGAAGTGCCGAGCGGAGCCGAAGTGAGCCGAGTCCCAGCACGCTGCTCGCTATGCAAAGCGAGTAAACACCGGTGGCTATGCAAAGCGAGTAAACAGCGGTCGCTAAGCAAAGCGGGTAAACAGCGGTTGCGAGAGACGACGGTAATAACAGCGGTACCCATTACGTAACAGGCAAACACGGCGCCAGACAGCAGTGGTGCCTATTACGTGGCTGTTTTCTGTGTTGTCCGGAAAGGGGCTAAATAAGGAGCAACGAAGGCTATTCACAGTCAGTTCTCAAGGCAGCAGTTACGAGTTAGTTACGAGTTCGCTAGAGAAGAGTATGCAGTCTAGTAATTGTAATATTGCAGATAGTAGTAACTGTGAGATTGTAAACTGTGTGACTGTAAGAGCGAGTGTGGAATAAATTCGCTATATCAAATACGGCGTGAAGTTATTCGCCGCGTTATACAACCAACACGTGACAATATATTTGTACACAAGAGCCCACATGACCTTCAGACAACCACAGGTATAGATCATGTGAAAGCCTCTACGTCATTCTACTCTTCTATTTCCTGCCGAATTCATTATTCACTCACGCCCTCTAGTTCGATGCTAACCGAACAGGTTAGTCTCGTCATAGCTTTATAGATTTGTGTTCTGAAGGTGCTCAGTTCGAATCTCTGTCATGACAGCAGCTATCCTGTGTTGTATCCGGCAGCGGAACAGGTTGGCAGGGCGAGCGGTTTCCTTGGGAGTCTGATGACCCACAACTGTGGTTGCTAAAGTATTTATTAAACAAAATAAATGTGCACTAAAAAGACTGTGAACAAGCTAGACAACAAATCTGTCTAAGTAAATGTAGAGTATTATATTTAAGCATCCTGTTGCACTCCACACGATAAATGATANTACTAACAAGACTGTGAACAAGATAGACAACAAATCTGTCTAAGTAAATGCAGAGGCCCACTTCTGATTGGAGACATTACTGCTCCGTACATGGACGCAGGATTCCTCAAGATCAGAGAGTGGGGGTAGGATCTTCAGACTGTCGTATATATATGTATCAACAAGGATGTGACTTTATACAAGTTTCATTTACTGCTATAGATAAGAAGCATTTAGGGCCTTCAGTTGTGTTCTACATTAATACCCTCTGGACCTTGCCTCACTCGGACTTTGGCAAATGTTGGTCAGCGGTCTAAAAATAGCCGGTTAGAATGTGAAATATCACGATTTTCCTTGTCCCCCAGCTCAAAATAAATTTGTTTCGTGTTGGCGTGAGTAACAGCGGTGAAAGTCCGGTTTACAAAATTGGGCATGTTCCTTCCTTGCACAGTCTGCTCTGTTATTTTATAACATGTATAAAATATTCCTTTATTTATACTTTAATTATTATTGATACAGTACCATTAATAAATACAGTATATAAAGTAAAAGTAAAG